AGGGCTGCTTGACCTTTCATTTGAACACTGACAGAAGATAGGGAAATAAGAAAATTCCTACCACACTGCTTTCTCTCTGAGGTAGGAGGATGCTCATGACAAAAGAAGTATTGAAGCCATTGTCCTTGCACCCCATGGGACAGAGTGAAACCATCATCACCACTCCAGAAGTCCTGGTTGTTTCCCAAACCCAGGGGTGGTGGTGACACTTTCCCTCCCATACACAAATGAGCCAGTTCCTGAATTCCTTCAACTCATCCTGCTGCATTGAGTACAGCACCCCAGGGGTGGAGACATGCTCCAGAGCACACTTCAGCCAGCCTGACTGACTTTTCTGTGAGAGCAATGAAGAGGGGGAGGGAAGCCCCCCTGGTGTCAGGGTACAAGTGTCTGCCAGATGTTAGCAGTTTCAGAGGGTCACTGAATGAAGCCAGTGCTCTTCCCTAGAAATTATCACCTGGCTCAGCAATCGCTCCTCATAGCCAGCTGTAGTAGCCAAGAGTCCCTGTTTGCTCAGCTAGTCCTAAAACAGCAGGAGTCCTTCCTTTTCTCTTAATGATTTTCCCATCTCTACCAATTCAGTATTTTGGAAGATTAGTATGGAGAAACTGCCTCTGGTTCCTCTGTCTTTGTGTCTATATCTCTTTAAGGCTATTTCAGGGCTGTGGAAGTGACAATCTAGAAAATGAAAACTGGGCTGAACACAAAAATGTCCTAACTTCTCAATTTCATTAAATTCAGGTATTGTATTAGAGAAGGCAATTAATTCTGTGCCTTTTCAGTATAACTGAAGTTTTTAGAGTGAAATTTAATAGCCTGAAAAATAATGTCACCTTATCCAGCTCTTCTACATGAAACTTCTCTAGTTGAAATTATCTCTGGGGCTAAACCATCTAACAGACATGCTTTTGCTAAAATAACATTTGAATCCTTAGGGCTTTCCTTTTTGCAGAATTTTTATGTAAATTCATGAGAGTAAGTAGAGATGACTTCAACTAAGGTTCAGGACCTCTACAAGCAGATCTCAGAGTGCAAGTTGAGGCAAGTTCAAGCAGAGGCTCTGACTTGTTACAAAGGGTGGAGCAACTTGCTCCTGCTGCTCTCATGAAGTTCAGCCATGTGCCCTGCCCAGCCACGCTTCAAACAGATGCTTAGCAAACTTTGTTTCTGGCTCAGATGAATGCTATCGAGTTATGAATACTGGGAGGAATAGTAAAGATCTTTTAAAAGAGGAAACAAACAAACAAAAAGCTCCAAGGTCCTGGAAAACTGTAGCAATGTATAATTAAAGGGAAACTTGGCCGGTGAATGGCTGTTAGTTGCAGAAAAAGAATAACTTTTGCATTGTAGAATAAAACACAATTCAAGGACCAAGTGCATTTTTCATTTGGCTGGTATAATCTTGCAATCATCCAATATCCACATCTGTTGAGCAGGGGAGGCCTGCTCACAGAAAGGCTGAAGAATTGACAGCAGTGCATGTTTAATCAAATTAAATAAAGGAAAAGGACCCTGTACTGATGGATGACTTTTCATTCAATTCTTTGCCCTCAGTCCTCTGATAATGCTCAACTCTGTGAAATAAAACTGAAGGAAAACCGATGGTTAAATGTGCCAGTGTGGAGCTTCATAACTCTAATATATCAGGGAACAACAAAGGAAGCCAATTGTTATTGCAAGATGTTTCGAAAAGGCATGGATTCACACAGGGCCTCATAACAGAATATAATAACATTTAGCTAAATGTAGTCAGTCTTGCAGGTTACTGCAAAATGAAGAAGATCAAGCCCATAAACCAAGGATGCCCAATATAAAACAGAGAATTAATATAAATTTTAGGATGTCATTAGGAATTAGGTTGAACATTAACTAGCGAAATATGGCTCACTTACAAATCTACTACTGTTTAATGTGCCTGATAGCAAGTTATGATTCTGATATTATCACAGATGAAATTCAGTTTAGTATCAAATTTTGTTCTAAAGTGGGAAGGCAAGAAATGTAGTTAAAATGTATCTAATCCTGAGATTTTTTTAAATGGCATCTGCAATATAAATTTGTGCAGAATTAAGTCTTTAGTCCACATTAAGAATTATTTTATATTTCCTGCTAAAAATCATTACTGAGATTAACTGTGAAAAACCCCATAAGTGACCCTAAAAACACTTCCTTCCCCCCAAAAAAAATCTTTAACCCAAAACTCAGTGTTCTTTATCTTCTAATATTCCTTGGAATATATTTGTTGAACCTGGCTTCTCATTTTAATAGACACAAGAGAAGAACAAAGGCCATTGCTAAACATTTATTAAAATGCCCTTCACGTTTCAGGTGAGAACTGACCAAGTGTTTTGCATTAAACATCTTCCTCCTTCACATATCTTGTGCAAACCCTGTTCTTTCACTGTGCCCACAAGGGTCTCTTACATATGCTGAATAGAGTTTGACTCTCCCTCACAGCAACTTAAAATCAGTGAGACTGCTTGAAGAGAAGGGTACTACTCTGTGTGAATAGGAATACAAGAAGGAGGACATTAAAGCAGAGACAGTAGAAAAATGGTGTTGTTTATATTATATAGGTATATATTTGTGTATTTCCTTTGCTGATCCTTTCACAGATTACATGAATCCTGATGCTTAGCTACAGAATTGAAAGCTGAATGTGACATCCGTACTCTCCATTATTCTAAACACAACTAAAGGTAGTTGTTGTTGGAAAATATAAATGGCTATGGTGCTATACAGAGTCTGAGCAAGTAAACATAGAACAAATAGGAAGCTCAATTCACATGCAAGTCCATAGCACATGGTTCACCCACATGGTTGCTTGTGGGTTTTGCATGTTTTCAGCTGCCCCAGAATGCACACTGCTGAACAGTCTTTGAATATTTTCTGCAGTGATTTTCCATTCAGTGTTTGGTTTGTGAACCTTTTCTGGCATCATGAAAGCCCTGGTTCCTCTGAAGGCTAAACATTCTGTTTGATTCTTTTAATTTCTTTGCAGTCATGTTAATTTTGAAGTTTTCAAGCTTATACAGGAAAATTTATCTTGGGTCTGTGATGATTTGCTCTTGCTCTCTACAAATACTTGAAAGGAAGAGGTATCAAGATGGACGGAGGTCTCTTATCCCAAATAACAAAAAATAGACAAGAAAAAATGGTTTCAAGTTGTGCCAGAGGAGGTTTAGATTGGACATTCAGAAAAATTTCTTCCCTGCAAGGACTGCCAAGCACTGGAATAGGCTCTCCAAGGAAAGTGGTGGAGTTACCATCCCTGAAGGTGTTTAAAGGATGTGCAGGTAGGTGCTTATAGACATGGTTTAATGCTGGACCTGACAGTGCTGGATTAAAGGTAGGACTTGATCTTATTGACCTTTTCCAACCTAAACCATTTTATGATAATATCTTTCTATTTGAAAAACTCATTTAATCAGCCTTGCATGATACTGAAAATCATACAAGCACACCACTTCTAGATATTTCAGATTATTCCAAAGCTGGCAGGAAGAATTGATTTTATAACATTTTTGCTTCTTTTTATGACTTCATTGTTCCCTCAATAATGAGAATGCAATGTTTCAATTTTGTATTTCCATGCAAAAACCTAAGCAACCTTAGTGAATGAATATCTGTTCTGAATGCACAGCAGCTAAGTTTGCCTTCAAATTAGGTCATAACTTAGAAGAAGAGTTTCCTTCATTACCATGCTTAGAAAATTGAAGGGAATTGGTCTCTTCTACTTCAGCTCCATTATCCAGGAGCTGACTAAAATGTCCTCTTTTTCAGAAGTGTTGAGGTCTTTCAGAGTCCAGTGTTGAAGGGAGACAGGTGCTCAACAAGAGCTAAAACCTCATGTGCTAAAGAGACTAAATATTGATTTTGAAACTGTAAGCAGGAAGGTTTAGACATTTCAAAGTAATAATACTGGACAGATTTTTTTTATGCATTAATGGTCTTTCTGAAAGTGGTTTTACCCTGTGGAATGGGGAATGGCATCTTTGAGGATTAAATGTGTTGCATAAGCAGGTTTAATTGGACTATATACTGTCACTTAGTTCTCCAGGGTTTTGCTCACCCAGGAGCAGTGGGATCTGCTGTTACAGAACTGTCCAAAAATGCATTATTATACTCTCTGACCCTCCAAAATGGAGGTTGCATATGAAGTGCCTGTGACTGTCCCTGGCCCATTTTAGCTCTCAAACTCTTCCAGAGAGTCTTTTGGAGAGGGACAAAGCCATCTGACATGGCCCAAACAGCACTAGAATAATTTAATAGTGCAAATTTACAGTGCAGACAATTAATTTCCACTGCTTTGCCTTCCATGCAACTCTTTAACTTACAAATATAGACACAGCTGTAGTGTCCAGACATGCCATCACTGACTTCATTGGTGCAATTTGTGCCATAATTGCAGGCAAGCCTCTGAAAAATGTTTTTGTGTTGTGGGATATGGATTCCACACCACAGGGTGCTTTACAGCTGAGGAACTGAGATATGGGAGAAATAAAGCATGGACTCCTACACACAACTATTTTAAGCTTTAACTGAGAAAGCAATTTTCAGATTGCCTCTGTATTAGATAAAGCTATAGAAGAGTCCAGGGGAGAGTTTATACATAGCAAGATAGAGATGTTTGCAGAGGGAGACTGAAGTCCACTCAGGCTGTGGCTGGGTTGCACTGTGAAGTTTTTCATTAATGAGATGGGACAGAACTCCTGGCTTAGTTGCTACAGGCACATCACTGCTGTGGGAGACACCAGCTAGGCTGGAATAACTTGCAAAAAGTTACATGCTAAGTCAGTGTCAAGCCTGGCACAAAAGGAAGTTTTTTTCAGCCTAGGCAAGATAAAGTTGGTCATATGATGTTGAGATAGATACAAAGGATCACACAAAGGATGGTAAGACAGACTTAAATATTTAAAGTTTTATTCACGGAGTCTGTAGCTGATGGCACACACCCACTCTAAAGTTACTGTTGGGAAAAATACAATGGAGAGAAAGAAAGAGAACAGGGAAAACAGAAGCTTTCACTCGTGGATGGCCAAAAAGAGGTGCAGCAAAATCTCCTTTAAAGGTATCTTCTGGTGATTCTCTCCAGTTGATGCTAATGATAATGATTTTCCTCCATATTTTTCCATAGTGACCATATGCCTTTCATCGTGACCTATTCAAATTCCCTTCTGGATATTCCTGCTTAAAACAACTTACTCTGAATGAGCCCAAGTGTTTCACAGTGAGCTGGGGTATATAAGTCCAACTGGAGATTCAAGTTTCTGTTTGCCACTATGTTATGCTAATTTATGCTTTTCCTTTAATGTAAACTTCAAGTTATAAAAGAAAGAGTGGGGAAGAGCAAGGGAAAGGAAGGAGTCATTCTTACTCCAGTGACAGTTTCTTCCCATGAGGAATCAGAGATAAGAATAATGTCAAGGTTTGCAGGTGCAACGCCATACGAATAACAGCACAAAAACAACAGCAGGAGAAAGCTTAAAAATAATGAAGCAGCTTTGGTGAAAGTTTACAGACCTGCAAGCAGAAGAAGACAGGCTACAGTACTGCAGAGAAAAGGACCTGAGCAATACAAGGTGAAGCCATTCTGCAACAGCTTGGTGTCTGCTCTTCTCTCTCCACTTCAGCTGTGTTCTCACATGCTGCAGCACCTCTGCAAGAAACAGGTAGGAGCAGCAAAGATTTTTCTGTGGGTTCCGGTGATCATAACCATAGGCACAATAGTCCCATGTGCATCAGCAAGGAATAATTGTCTTCTGTTATTAGATAGAAATTCTTAGACTGCTTTATTACATTTAATCCATCTGTCTTTACACATCTCTCTTCCTCTAAATTTATTAGAAGTTATACATTTCTTATGTTTGCAATCACACAAAATCACAGAATCAATTTCTTTAAGAGAAGGTTTGCAACCACAGGTTTATTCTCAGGCCAGCTGTGCCACATTTAAAAGTCTGTTCCTGATAAATCTGTGATTGCCTCCACATTCACTTATTTTACACCATCTGAGGATGTAGCCCTCTGGCTACAAGCACTAGCTAACTGCTGTTCCAAGCCATAAAATCCATTACAATATTAACTTGGCATGTGTTCTGTACCATAACAATTTTCTGGGACAGTAAACTTTTTGAGGATAGTAAACTCACAATATTTCCCTGGTTGCACTTATATATTTCAGTCTGCTGCCAAGTGCTGCAGATCTTCCTGAGTCTGGCAAAGTTCCACATTTAAAAAAAATTGTTGTTGGTGTGTATCATTTCTTTACTTACAATCCACTTGGAGATATTTATTATTATTGGTCAAAGATGTCAAATTCAATAGAAAGAAAATCCCAAATAGACCTTGAGAGTGCCTCTTCTTGCATTTTCAAATGTGAGATCCAGCTGGTACTGTGACCACTACAGAAAGCTCAGTGTAAGCCTAGAGGCAGGAAACTGTGAGGAGAGCAAAGCAGCAGTGAAATGATGGCACTTGTCACTCACACAACAGAGTCCCAGAAGGTCTAAGCATGGTGGATTTTGGAGGAATTCAGCCTGAGCAGGTTTGGGGGGGCTATGAGAAGGTCCTGTCAGTGAAAGGTGATGTGGGAGACCATGGAAGGGCATTTGACTGTGTACATAACAAATGGCTGCTGAAAGCTGATACCTTCTGCAGAGTGAGATGGCTTTGCTTGCATTTTGTATGAGATGTTGTTCTTTGAAAATACAGGTAATGGGGCAGGCCTGGGGCAGGTTCAGCAATTTTTTGAATGACAGCTAGTGAAAGAAGCTGTCAGCTCTTATAGGAAACCTGTGCTGAGGTAGGGACTGAGAGATACTGCTGGTCCCATCAAATACTGAAGGCTGGTAGCAGTTGACAGAAGCCTCTAATTCCTCCAAATTGAGCTGGACTTGGTCATAATGACAGATAGACTAATTAGTCCCCAACACCAAGAATGTATTTGTCAGGCCCCTGGAATTGATGGCAATTGTACAGGATGAAAAATAACAGGTGTGGAAAAGTGTGTGTGTATAGACACCCATCCATGCAGAAATTGTTTGTGACATGTGACAAATATATACAACACAAATGTATTAGAGCATGAAGTATGCAGAAAGGAGAGGTGGTAAATTTGGCTGAGTGCCCCACTGGCTGTTGTTGGACAGGCTTTTGCTGCTTTGCTTGTGGCTGTTCTGCCTGAACCAAGGAAATGTGAGTGATTGCTTGGGTGCCAAACTGAGTTCATAGCAAAACAGAGCAATAATAATTTCTGGAGAAGGCAAAATCTGAAGAAAAGTCATTAAATTACTATGGGTTATAAAATCTCCTCTTATATTCAGTTGTTATTCTCTGATGATGACCAAAGTGGGGGAGCATAATCGGAGGTGTGTGGAGTAAAACTTGCAGTTCTAACTTCTTGGAATCTTCAGTATTGTAAAAACATCATCTCTCTCTCTCTCTTTATTTCTCTTTTCTTAAAACATCAGTGAACTTCCAAAAGTCTCATGAAGGGATTCTCATGGTGTTCTATATCCTGTGATGCAGAGTCAGAGAAGGCACAGATGCAGCTCCTGTTTCATGATTCTATAAAAGATGGGTAGAAAGAGATGATGTCTACAGCAGGCATTGTCCTGGTTGTAGGCAGGTACTTGGGGAAAATATGAGGATGAAGTTCTTAGGGCAAGTGAGTCAACAACGAGCTCCATCAGAATTCAGTTTTCAATTCTCCAGCATCTAAATATTTCATGTTGTACATAAAAGAATTGTGACTTCAGAAACAGTTGAAATTTGTTTTCTTCTCAAAGAGGTCTTCTGCATAGATTTTCTGACATTTTCTTTGGTTCCTTGTTGAGCAAGGGGACTTTAATTATTAATTCTCTTATCCTTGCTCAGGATTACAAGAAGTAACAGCTTGTTGCCATTTTCCTGCCTCCAGTCCACCTGAGACACTTGGGCTCTGAATATAAGATCAGCCTTGATTAGATTTCTACAGATATGTGTATTGAGGCAAGCTATATTTCATTCTGCACTCGGGTTCTGCATCTCAATTTTGAGAATATTTATTATTAATATCATTGCTGCTTATCATCTCTTCTGATATTAAGACTGTAAAGCCAGGTAGTATTTGACTTTGAAAAGTATATTCAAAGTTGTACCACCAATTCAAAAGTTCTATTTCCCATAAAAAATAAACTTAGTATGCCGCAGAATAGATGAACTGGACTCACCTGTTGATAGATTTTTTTTTTTGTCATCTGATACCCAGAGTATTGTAGACTCTTGCAGAAAGAAAGAAAGAATTCGCTCCCAAAATTATTTTGTGAACACTTGAAAAACATACTTTGTGCTTACACATTTCATATTATATCCATTTGCAAATCATGTTAAGAACAGAATATGAACAAATTGTGAATACAATACTCTGAAAAGAAGTTGCTCAGGGAAAAAAAGTGGGTAACAAATGACTACCAGAAAATGTTACTCTGAGATCCAGAACCTGAATTCCAATTTTGATTATTGAGAAATTGCATTAAAATTAATAATGTGACTTCAAGATTAATAACCACGAGAACAGCTAAGCATAAATGAGTTTCATTTCACTGCTGTTTTTTTGGGGTTTTTTTGCTGTTTTTTGTGGGGAGGAGGGGTGGGACTTGGAAGGTTTTTTCCAAAATGAAATCATTATCTACTTAAAGCTGGAACTGCCTCTAGGAAGTCTTAGAAGAGTCTTCCTAGAAAGAAAAGAAAACAACCTTTTCTTTCTATGAAGACTGGATGTGGCTAACCTTGTGTGAAGCCAGTCAGCACATACTGATTTAAACCACTGAGGGATCTGATTTTCTTCAGCCCCCCATTAGATAATTGGTTACTATTTCTCACCTTCCATGTCAGTGCCTTCCATGGGAAAATTCCAGGTAGCTCCCTGCAGTCCAGATTTGGGCAGAGCAGAGCCCATGGCACTAGCCAGGGCGCAGGAAGCATTGAGCTGCTGTGGGTCAGCTTGTTGCACCAGTCTAACTCTTAACTGTGATAGAAATAATCAGTCAGGGACTTCAATTTTGGACCATGAGATGAGTCTTACTCAGGGTCAGATTTCTCACTGTGGGAAACCTGTAGCTAGTAGGTGGTCAGAAAAAAAAAAATAAACAAAGACAGCTTCCTACACATTAAGTTGGTTTTGGTGCCCCAGTACATCTTAGGGAATTCCATGGATCCCCACCCTGCTCAGTTCCAGGACACTATTTTGTAGTTAGGCATCAAGTTGTGATTCAGGTATGTCCCTGTTTGCTCCTGATGTACTGGGCCCCAGGGCCTGAAAAGGAGGGTGTTTCCTACTGTGCTGACATTTTAAATTCCATCTTAAGACACAATTTGAGCTCTGGCTGCTGCATATCAAGTAACAGCTATATTTACTATGCAGGAAATATCTTCATAAGCAGTGAAAATCCTCTCTCATTACAATGTTTTAATGCTTGGCTTGTTCTGACCCCTATACCCTGAGGCTAAGGAAAGGTACTTTCTGATGCCTGTCAGAAGTAGCTGTCCTATGAGAAAGGTGGATGCTTTCTGCTCAGGATTTTAATTGGGGGGCCAAGCATGTCTTCACAAGGACAAGTCATTCATGCCCTTGGGGCAGCCCTGATGAATGTAATGCATTTTCTCACAAGTGGAAACTAAGTAGGCATTTTCATATATATTATCTACCAGTATAATTGCCTGTATTTATGTATCAGAGCTGAGTGGTGACGATAAAAAAATTGCTTAGTGTTCAATGTGTCAAAATATTAAATAAGACTCAGATATCCTGAGCCCCAAAAGGCTGCAATAAATTTTCCCAGCTTTCCACTAGTTCCCCTTCTAGCTGTCACACTCTCCTCTGTTCTGATTAATAGAATCAACCTTCTAAAGTTAAAGATAAGAAATACTTTTAAATGGTGAAGTAGAGCATCTGTAGTGAATGCATATTCTATTCAATCCAGAGGAAGCAAGTGCTGTAAGAGACTTTAGAATGGCTTTCAACAGGAGATTTAAGCATATAAACAGACTTTGTGAAAGTCTGTTTACCCCAAAAAGAAAGATATTTTACCCCAAAAAGAAAGAGATTTTACCCCATTTCATCTTTCTTTTCCCTTTCTGATTGATATGCACTCATACTTTGTTCAAAACCTATGTCTATTGCCTTTTACACTAATTTTGCACAGCTAACAGCTTTCACAGATATTAGGGATGGTAAAGAGGTGTTTTGCATTGTATGGTTTTCCATTATTCCTCAGTGATCTTTGATCACATAGTGAATATGGTCCAAAAGAAGTTCTTTCACTCACTTTAGCACAACAAGAAGGCAGATTCCCTGCGGTCATGGAAGAGTTGTTCACAGAAGGCTAAATTCTGTTGGCAAATCTTCAGGTGTCAGCTAGGTCTCTAAAACAATTAACCATAGCTAGCAGTTGCTGCTCTTTCCATCTTGGACAAGAGGTCTTGTTCCATAAGCCTGTCTGCACAGGCTAATGGTAGACTCAGTTCAGACCGTGTCCTGATGTTGCCCTCTGCACCTTTGCCATGGAGTTTATAGGAAAATCCCTTGTACCTGTGGTCTCAATCAGCCATAACATGTATTGCCATTAGTTAAATGCACGATCTATGTGAATCATATTAACATCCCCAGATGCTTCTGGCAACAAGGAAC